ATTACTCAGCTTTAAAGAAGAATGGAACTATGGCTTTTGCGGGTAAGTGGATGGAGTTGGAGAATATCGGGCTAAGTGAAATAAGCCCGTCCCCCAAAACCAAAAGCCGAATGTATTCTCTGATATGTGGATGCTAATTCACAATGGGGGGGCACGGGCACTAGGGAAGAATAGAGTTACCCTAGATTAGGTAAATTAGGGGAGTAAAGGGAAGAGAGGGGAGGGGATGTGGGGATAGGAAGGATAGTAGAATGAAACAGACATTATTACTATGTACATATATGACTGCATGATCAATGTGATTCTGTAACATGTACAATCAGAAAAATGGTAAGTTATAGCCCATCTACATATGATATATCCAAGTGCATAGATGCATTCTACTGTCATGTATAACTAATTAAAATAAATTTTAATTTTTTAAAAAAACATAAAATAAAATCTTCTTTAAAAAATAAATAAATAAGCAATGACACCCGGGTGGTTGGGTGTTTCCTGGGTCTCCTGGACGCTGTGTAATCACCTTCACCCTCAGAGTTCCAGCCTTCACCTGTGGAAACCAGGGGCCTCACCAGAGGGTCCCTGGAAATCCTTCTGGCTCCAACAGACTGGGCGGAGCTCAATGTTCCACTTCATCCTCCCAGGCCACTTGGGATCCGTCACAGCGGAGTCCAGTGTCCACCTGACACCATCAAGACCTGGCTGGGAAGACAGGAGAGTTGACCCAGTGCTCAGTGGCTGGTTCCTGTTCACGGCACATGACAGACAAGAAATCATTCCTCTCATCTAGTGATTTTCTTTGCCTCCAGCTTCAACAAAACAAAAGAATTTTCCTTAGGCTAAGTCAGGGAGGACTTGGATTCTGGACAGATCTTCCACACACACATGGCTCCGTTTGAAAGACTTTCCTATTGTTTTTGGAAGCCCTAAGAAAATTAAGCATATGTTAGACTTTTTTTTTTTTTAAATAGCCTCGTGAAAATGAGTCAGTTTATAGTGTGTTTTGAACTGAGTTCTACATTCCTGTGGGCTTGTAGCTCTTGAAATTGGTTAAAACCTACCTCCCGAGGAGTTTGAGCAACTTGAAACACTCTGATTCTGATTTATGAAAACCAGAAGCCCACGTCTCGTGGTCCTAAGGCCGACTTCCCACGGTGACCTCGGGTAAACCTGACTTCCCAAGCACAATGCCAAGCCCTTCACATGCTCTGGGTCAGTCCCCCTTCCCTGTGGCAGCTCCTAGGACTACATTTCAACTACCCCAAACACAGCAGCCTCAGACAACAATCACTGGCTGAAAATTTTAAAGTACAGAGCAGGGTCCAGAGGGAATATCCATCTCTGTTCCATTGGACATCAGCTGGAGCAGTTTGAAGGCTGGAATTCGCTGGGAGGTCCTTGGCTTCTTTGTCTCCTGGGCTGGCATTGTGGTTTGGCTCCGTGGAGCCCCCAGAGCCCCTGTGCTGATGCAGGACATTCAGAGGTGACTGATTAGACCGTGACCACTGGGATCTCAACAGTGCCTGCTAGTGCTAACTGTGGGCAAGTGGGGCCTGGCTAGGGGAAGTAGGTCACTGGGGACGTGCCCTGGAAGGGTGCATCTTCCCTGTGGCCCTCCCCCTTTCTCCTCCAGCTTCCTCCCCCACACCCTTCCACCAGGACGCTCTCCCTCACCTCAGGCCCAGAGCAATGGGGTCAGCTCAGCACGGACCCAACCTCTGAACCCATGAGCCAAGATAAGCTGTTCCCCCTTCAAGTTGCTCTTGTCAGTGTGTTGGTCACAGTGACAGGGAGCTGGGTAACACAGCTGGGAAGCACAAACATCTGGGAATGGGACTGCTAGGGCTCTGCCACCCCTTGCCTACGAGGTCCCCCCAGCTGTTCCAACACACAGCGTCAGGTCTTCCCACAGGGCAGCTCAGGACCCCAAGGTGCCTGTCCCGAGAGACAGGACCAGGAGGAGGCTCCGTCTCCTCTCATGACCCGCCCTGGGAGGCAGCAGGAGTCACTTCTGCCGGCCGTGGTCTGTTGGTCAAGGAAGGCCTGTGGGTCCAAGGAAGTCCAGGGGAGGGGACATGGATCCTGCCCCTCAGTGGAGCTGTCAATCCACATCGCAGGATGAGCTGTGGGATGGACGGGTACTGGTGCTGCCACCTGGGAACACTGCAATGTGGTAGGACTCCAAACTGTCAGGCAGACATGGAGGCCCCCCGTACAGACAGAGAGAAGGAGCCGGCGAGAGTAAAGCGACTTCTTTATGACCACATAGCGAAGAAGTGGCAGGACTAGGAGCTAGGGAAAGGGGGCCTTGGAGGATGAGAAGTGCGGGGAGTAGAGGTGGGAAGTCCCCTAGTCACCCCTGAGTCACTGCAAAGGAAAGGGACAGGAGAGGCAGCACAAGGAAGAGGGACTTTCGCTCAAGCCCCAGCATGAGAACAAGATTCAGGAGCAGCAATGGTCTTACCCCTCTTTTGACCCCATCAGAGTTAGCAAAAGGGGACGTAGCGATAAGGTGGGGAAAGCACGGGTGTGCGAGTTTGCTCTAGGTTCCAGCTGTATGAGCCCAGTCAAGACTCCTAACATCTCTGAACTTCAACTTCCTCAACTGCAAAATGGTAAGACTAACATCCTAATCACAATGTTTTCTGGAGGATTCAGAATGTTCACGTGTAAAGTTCTTGCTGTATGGTAGGAATCCATTAATGGTCATTATCAAACTGAAATAAATCAGTAAGTTCTGAGAGTTAATATTTTGTTAATACTCAGGTTCACATGCAAGGTACGCTGGGAACTCTTATTTGGCTTGACAGAAGAACACAGCTGAGTCTAAGCAAAAATGGTTGAAGGAGAGAGTTTGGGATAGGTGAGGCAAACCCATGGGACTCAAACCTCCATTTGAACTTGGCCAAAGTACTCCTGGGCCACCGGGCATCATGATGCATACCTAATCCCAGAAACTTGGCAGGATGCGGCAGGAGGACAGTCCTAAGCATCTTGGTGAGAATTTGTCTCAAAATAGAAAAAATAAAATAAAAAGGGACTAAGGATATATCTCACTGGTAAAGTGCCCCTGGGTTCAATTCCCAGTGCCAATAAAAAATAAAAAGAAGAAAGAAATTCCTAGGCTATCTCAGAACTCCTAAGGGCTGGCAGAATCTATGTTTCTGACTTTCTTCAGTCTGTATCCCTCCTAACATGCATGCACAACTGGAAAAGATCCATATTTCAACGCAGTCTTTGACAATTGACTGGAGCAGTAAGAGTTATGGAAAATGTTCATACATCTCTATACCTGAGAGACAAACCAACTCAAAACTTAGTTAAAATTGGTATTTAGTTCCTGATTCTCTAGGTCAACGCTGCTTACCCTGGGTTCAGCTGGGCAGTTCATCTGGCCTTGAGCAGCTTACTCATGGGTCTGCAGACAGCTACCAAATCCACGCCTGGCATGGCAGGAGGCTGGCTGAGTGAGGATGGGAGCCTCATCTCCTGCAGGCTGCCTCGAGCTTGCTTGTGTGGTACCTGGAGGATTCCAGAACCAGAGGATGCATGCATGGCCTCTTGATCCTCCTCTCAGATCTGGCTCACCATCTCTCTTGCTGCACTCCGTTCACTCAGCCATTTGCAAAAGCAGCCCAGAGTCAAGGCCGAGGACGCCTCCGTCCCCAGACAGAGGAGCTGCAGGGCCACACTTCTGGGCATGTGGTGCAGGAAAGGAAGGAATGAAGAAGAACTGAGTCACTTCTGCAACTGACCACAGTGTCGTCCTCAGTAGCACCAGGAGTTGATCAACTGAGTGGAATATGTGATCTTGTCCCTTTGGAATGTGGCAGTACTCTAGCCTCAGTGATTCACATATGGGGAAGCACGGAGAACGAGGTCCACCAAATGGCGCTTTCCTGTGTGACCATGCCGAGGCAGATCCCGCTCACACATAGAATCCTAACGCACTACTTCTAACAATAATGATAGGCAGGACAGTAGAGCAGGGCAAGCAGACCAGGAAAGGAAAAGGGAGGGCTAGGCAGTGTCCTGCAGAATGAGATTCATCAACTTATGTGGGTCCAGGCACAAAGATAGCACAGTGAATCCCTCTGTTACATATAATTATAATGCACCCATAAAAATAAATCTTAAAGTTCTTCAAAATATAATAACTTATAGGGCCTCAGAGATTAAAAAGATTTTAAACTAACTGGACTCATTTCTTTGTGTGCCAGCACATTAAGCAGGTTGGGCCAGGACTTCCGTCCTCTATTTGTAGATGAAGAAGAGCAGGTAGGTCCAACCCTCCCTAAGCCTCTCCTCTTTGTGCTCTGATGATGATGAAGGGAGTTGCCTTTCTCCTTACTTCCACCACCCTCTAAGCTTCAGTGTTAGGGAGCAGGGAAAATCAGGACAGACTCTGTCCCGAGCCCACCTGCCCCCACCCAGGTTCTGGCGATGGTGTTCGGAGCCAGGCTCCCAGGGAGCACTCATCTCCTGGATTTGTGCCCAGAGCTCCCAGAACCCCAGTGGGCTCAGCTCTGCTCCCGGCAGCTCCAGGGAGATGTGATTTCAGGACGCTGGGAGGAGACGGCCCCGCCCACCCCAGACCCTGCTGCCTGAAGTTCCCCCATGGAAGAGCAAGCCATTCTCTTTACAGGGCAAATCTGCTTCAACGTGTGAACCCCCCAGACATTAATCATTATTATTATTATAATTCTATAAAGCATTACAGAAATATGTGTTTATACATAATAAGCACATTCATTTAATGCAAGAACAAACCATTCCTTTGGCAGTCAGAAATCTGTTTGAAAGTGTTAACCACCAGGACAGTAATTATTATTATTATTATTATATAATACATGATAAAATTATGTGTTTATGTATGTAATATGCATAGGTTGCATAACTGTATTATGATGTAATGTTTTTGTAATTATAAAGATATAACAATTTTATAATGAGAAATTTTTAAAGGAGAAAACATATAAACCGTGGACACTAGGAAAAGATGGAGAGTGATCCCTAAGAGAAGGGAAACAAATTAGGTGAGCCCTTACGGTTGCCCATTCCTGTCCTGAGAGTTTCCAGGCATGGAAAGGGATTCTGTGCTTGATTACTGGGGTCAGCCCAGGGCTTGGCAAAGGCCAGGGACAGCCTCCATCTGTGCTTCTCATTCCTATGTGATTGTTAAGACCTTTGGTCTTTCTGTATCCTATTCCCTTAGTTCTTTCCCTACAAGTGAAAATTGCATCACTCTGTACCAAGTAGAGAAAACATCGTGGCAAAGACACAGAGATGGTGATGTGTGGGACGCTTCCCTCCATATCAACTCCACTTATCACGGACCACACAAAACACTTCACATGCACCATCAGCTGCTCCTCCTGAGTGCCCAGTACACCAGTTAGCACACTTCTAACTGAGGCGACAGAAACCCCACTCACAATGGCTTAAACCATAGCAGGACTTGCCTCAGATACCAAACCTTCTAGAAGTAAGACCACTTTCCAATGTCTTGATTCAGTTTCCCAACAATAGCATCAAGAACCTGGGGCTCTACCATCTTCTCTTCTACATGGTCAACCTTGTACCTCAAGACCCAGACTGTCCAGATACTGCATGTGGACATGCTGTTGTCCATCAGAACTGACACAGCTCCTCTGGTCTTTGCAAAAGCTCCGTAGCCAGGAAGCAGCAGAACATTCCCTGAAACCCACGTTGGCTGGAAACCAGGGCTGTTCTTCCTTTCTAAGCAGACTTTCAGAGGATCCTGCCTTGGTTACAGTTAATGACCAAGGTGATTTGTTGACTCATTTTCAGCAGGGGATTGAAGGTAGTAATTATCAGGTATGGTTTCAAGTTTAAATTTAGCTTCTACCTGCAGTTCTCCACCACGACTTTACAGCAGACCTGTTCAACATCAGAGAGAAAACATTAATCGTGTCACATAGTTTGGGGATAAACTAATTATCTGTTATTGCTGCTGTAGATGCTAGAACATACCTCGTTGTGGGGTTTGAGGAATACATTCTTTGTCTGCGACTGTGACAGGGAGCCCACTGGCTGGGCAGGTCTTCAAGCTCACTGGCCCTGGCAAAGAGGAAGCAGTCATTTGTACAGCTGGTAAGTTGTCCTGATGGCTTGCTAAAATGGAAAACCAAATAGAAGAAAACAAGGAATTTGATGCCTCTATAAGGCCCCAAGTGCTACAGCCAGGGCTTGAGAGAGAACATAGAAGAGCAGGCAGCCCAGAGCCTGGCTCCTCACGGGCTGGGCTCGAACCCTGCCTCTGCCTCTTACTTCTGGGATCTTGGCCACCTTGGTAACTTCTAAGGCCTGGCTTTCTTCCTCTGTGAAATGCAACCTTAAGTGCTGTCTGAGTGTGAGAACATGTGACGTCCTAAGAACTGTCCATGGCACCCATGAAGCAAGGGCATTGCCATCCCACCTGTCACCTCAGTGACAAGAATGTCTCTAATGATCCCGTGAGGTGGATGGAGCCAGGAGGCTAGAGCTATTTTAAGGATGATAGGAGATGACTGCCAAGGACTCACTTAATGGTTCCCACTGCACCAGCCTTGAGGAGTCAGAGGCCAAGTGAGGAGAGTGATCAGCAGCTCCCCAGACTGCAGCTGGCCCGCCTGCTCCACAGAAAACACCACCTCTGGCTCCTGTCCAACCTCCTCGCTCCTCTGCTCAGCACCTGCCAAAGGCAGTGGACCATTACCCTGGGAACAAGCCCAGGCTCTGAAATCGGCAAAGGCCCTGACCCCACACCTGTCTAACCTCATCCCCTTGCTCCCTCTGGTCGAGGTATCTTGTCAGGGACCTTGTCTGGTTCTGTGTCCAGATTCTGGAATAGCCCTTAGCATATGGATACTCAAAAAAATACTAGTTGAGAATGAAGAAAGGAATGAATGAGGCAAGAATCTAGCTCTGGTTTCCCGTCCCAGAGCTCTTTCTCCTCCAGTGCTTTGCAGGGCTTCTGCTAATACAGGTGGTCCCTTGGTGGGAACGCCAGAGAAGTACTCATTAGATTAGAGGAACTGTAAAACCTACCATCTCTGACTAACAGAGGCCATGTAAAAAGAGGGCCTTAAGCTGCTATAGCCTAGTTGAGAGCTGCATGGCTTGATTGGTGCCCCCGTGCAGTACAGCCAGCATGGAGCAGGGGTGTGAGCGCCTGCAGTGCATGTGCATGGGGTGTGTGCATGAGTCATCAATCTTCTTTTTTTTTTTTTTTTTTTTTAGTACTGGTGATTAAACCCAGGGGTGTTCTATCATTGAACTATGTCCCCAATCCTTTTTATTTTTCATTTTGAGATAGGATGTCACTAAGTTACCCAGGCTGACCTAGAACTTACAATCCTCCTGCCTCAGCCTCCTGAGTCCCTGGGATTACAGGTGTGTGCCACCATACCTGGCCTGCGTGAATTATTAGACCTTGCCTCATGCTGAATTTTTAGACATTGCCAAGTTTAAAGTCACAGAATTTCAGAGGTGATCATGTGTCTTCTCCTTCTCTTCCCACTGTTCCCCTCCTACCCTACACATACATAGGAAGTCCAGAGAAGGAGTTGAGAGTGTTTATTCCACACAGGGGTTCAGACTCTGCCGAGGGTGTTTCATCTGCTCTGAGCACGCCACTTGGAAAGAAACGAACTGGACCACTTCTAGGGGAGTGCGCCCTGAAATGGAAAACAGGCCAAACAGTGTCTACGAGGGATAGATGGAGCCTGGGGATGTTTAGTTTAAAACAGATTCCCAGGAGCCCTGACTGCCATTTACACAACCTTAAGTGCTGCCACTAAAAAGAAAGATTCCTTCATTCATCACACCTCTATCGATCCCTCTGTTCTCCATGTTGGAACTATAGCAGTGAAGAAAACAAAATAAAATCCTCGTGCGAGCACATCCCAGGTGCGGGGGATTCACAGTAGACAAGCAAATATAATAAAGCATAATGAGGAGTGCTTCACACAAAGCAAGTGGCTGGGAACGGGGGTCCTGGGAGGCAGCTACTTTAGATCATGGACAGAGAAGGATCTTCAAAGAAATGACATTGGAGCCGAGAGCATGTGAGGAGAAGGGGTTGAGATTTGCTTCAAGGAAAGAATGTCTCAAGCAGACAGAAGAGCGTGCAAAGGCCCTAAGGCCAGAAGGAGTCTGGCACATCCAAGGAACAAAGCGAAAGGTCAGTGAGGTTGAGACTTACTGAGGGTGGAAGGAAGGAGGAGGTGGGGCCACTAAAGCAGGCAGGGGCCAGGCCCTACAGGGCCCCGAGGGCCATCCCCAAGGGGCTGGCTTGTTCTAATATGTTTAAAGCACAAGAACAAGACTTGATCCAACGCATATCTTTAAAGATGATTTTGGTTGCTGGAGGAGAGCGAATTACAGAGCAGCAAGAGTTCTTTGTGTTCTCTGAACAGAACTAATACCAAAGAAGAGGCCCCAGGAGACAGAGTTCAGCCCAAGACGAAGGCTTCAAGATCCAAAGAGGAAGAGGTCCCTGGAAGTGGGAGTGTCCCCTACTGGAAGTGGCAAGAGAGGACTTATGCTCCCGTCAGGGAGGAGCGCCCGCTGGTAAACTTCACTTACATGCCAACTGGACTGGGCCCCGGGGCACCCAGATGGTTAGACACCATTCTAGGGTGTCTGTGAGGGCGTCTTTGGATGAGATGAACACTGGAATCAGTAGTGGGTGGCCCTGGTCAACGTGGGTGGGCCTCATCCGATCCAGAGACCTACGTAGCACCATGGGGCCAGGTGAGAGGGAATCTGTCTGCCTATGTTCAAGCAGCAGCATCTGTTTTCTCCTGCCTTCAAATTTGGACAAGGACTCAAACTCTCACCCATGGACGCCCAGGGGGTCACACTCAGACTAGAACCACACCATCGGCTCCCCGTCATCTCTGCCTCATCGACTGAGATCTTAGGGTTTCTCAGCCTCCATGATCCGCTGAGCCAGTTCCCTATACTGAGTCCCTTAATTTATTACATGGGTTTTTTTCCTATTTCACTGGAAAAATCAGATTAACATGCCACACAGGAAGAATGTAGCTATGAGGACTGGTTTCTGGCACCGGGATGGGATCCTGACCAGAAAACACCTTAGAACTCCTGCCAGCCCCGGGAAGTGGGCTCAGCCCAGCACTACGGATTTCAAGTGTGTTCTCATGGCAACTTTATTTCCTCATAAGTCTGAAATGCTTGCTTGGTCTCCACCCGGCCCCCTTCTCTGCTATTTATCTCTTAACTGAAGAGTTGCAGTTCATGAACATGGCAAAATATTCAACCATGCAGACAGTTTTACATTTAAAAGCAAAGATCTTCCTTCAACTCCTTTTCCCCATAGGAAGCTTCTATCAGTGATTTCTTGTGTGTCCTTCTAGAAAAATTACAGACTGCGTCAGCATAAACACAAGACCTTTCATTTACCCAAATGGATCATACTCTGCATACCATTTGGTACCTTGCCTTTTCCACTCGAGAATATGTAAGATGCTTCTATAGGTCAATTTAAAAATAGGCCTTTGGGATCATGGGTTTTGGTGCTACTGTATCAAAGACTAAAATGTGACAAAATCATCTCTCCACCTGCAGAAACCTCTGTAACACTCACCTGCAGGGACATGAAGGTGAGAAATAGCTGGAGTGTTCTGAAGCCCTATTCAGAACCAGGTGCTGTGACCTTGACATTGCTACATATGTCATCCTGTCTGTCAACCCCATGCTGAGTTTGGTTCATGAAAGCTCCTTCTTTTTGTCATTTCTTCTCTCTCCCTCTCTCCATCTCCTCCTATTTTTTTTTTTCATGTATCTTTTGATAGAGTCTTGCTAAGTCCAGCAATGATATAAAGAGAACTTTGGCTTGTGTGTGGTTTGGGTAAAAGAGTGTGAATTTTAGGTTTGAACTTGGATCTGAATCCTGACTTGGTCATGTACTAATTATGTAACCTCGTGCTTGTAAGTGCAGTTGGCAGCTTCTAAGATGGCGCCCCAGAACCACTGCCTCACCTCCAAAGTGGAGGCTGCTCCTAGAAACTTGCTTCTTTTGAATAGAATAAAGCAAAAATTGATGGATGTCATTTATGAGACATGGTTACAAAAGACGGTGACTTCTGTCTTTCTTACACCCTCTTTCCCTCTCCTTTGCTTGGTCTGTTGGAGCCAGCGGCCATACTGTGAGCTGCTCCACGGAGAGGAACAAATGGCAAGAAATAGGCCTAATCCAACAGCCTGGAGGAACGGGATCTGGACAACTGATTTAGTCAACTTTTTAGGGAAATGTCCAAAACCCCCACAAGAACAACTTAGAGGAGAACAAGTGTATTTTGGCTCACACGTTCAGAAGTTCAGTTCATGGTTGGTCGACTCCACTGCTCTGGGCCTCAAGTCTGGCAGAACATCGTGGTGGTAGGGCATGACAGAGGAAAGTTGCCAGCTCATAATAGCCAGGAAGCAGAGATAGAGAAAGCAGGTACAAACTATAAACCCCAAGGGTATGCCCCAGGAACCTACTCCTTCCAGCCATACCTACCTGCCTATGGATACCAGCAAGTTAATCCATTCCAGTAGATTAACCCACTGTTTAGGTTAGCTCTCACAATCCAGTCCTTCAGCTCTGAATGGTTGTATTGCCTCACACATGAGTTTTGAGAGGGCACCTCATATCTAAACCGTAACACCAACCATGGGAATGGGCATGGAGGCAGGACCACCTGCACCTGAAAGATGTTTTTACTGCAGCCTAAGCACCCAGCTAAGCCATGTCCAGATCCTAATCACATAAACTTTGAGATAGCAAAGGTTGGCTGATTTAAATTGCTCAGTTTTAGGGAAATTGTTTTATACAATAATAAATAACTAATACACTTTTGGTTAGTTTGTGGGGAACAAATGAACACAAGCACCCCTACCCAGGAAAAAGGGACCCCCACTCTTGCTCCAGTGTTTTATAGGGTCCTGACTTATACCTTCTCCTCAGTAGGCCAAGAAGTCCAAGGGGCCAAGGGAATATTCCAACTCTGTCCCCTCGGCTAAATAAGACTCTCGCCAGACAAACAGCTCTCTGCCCAAATGACCCTGACCTGGTTTGCTTCAGAGTATAACGCTCCACTTGTGTATGTACACACCTGCTATGCTTTGGACATAGTTTTCCCCCAAATGTATGCACTAGAAGATTAGTCCCCTGTGTAACAATATTGAGAGGCAAAGCATCTTTAAGAGGAGAGGCCTAGTGGGAAGGTGATTTAGTCATGGGGGTACCAAGCTCAGGAAGATCAATACCCTCCCATGGGAGTGGGTCAAGTCTCCTGGAACTGGATTAGTTCCTGAGAGAATAGATTAAAAGAAAGGACCTAGCCCCCACACTCTCTCTGACTTCCTCTCTTGCCATGCAATTCTCTCCACCTTACACACACACACACACACACACACACACACACACTACTGATATGTGAGGTTATCCGCCATGAGAAGCCTATGCCAGAAAGATGCTCTAGGACCTCCAGAAATATGAACTGAACAAATTTATTTTCCTTATAAAGTATACAACATTTTGTTAGAGCAGCACCAAACATACAAATATAACACCCTAGGGTGGCCCAGGAACTGCTATTGTGGGGGAGGGGTAGACTGAGCTTACATATATAGGTTGGGGTCTGTCCAGTTTATTAGCCTGACTTTCAACTTCACACCTTTAACTCTGGTTTGGTTGCTGCCATTATACTCCTTTTCCCAACCCCACAAATCTTAGAGGTGTCCTTGGGTAGAGATAATGGTAAATGAGGATTGAATAGGTCACTTATTCAAAAGTATCTGTTGTACAGAGTGACAAGCCACGAGTGTTCAATAAATCACAGCTCTCTTCCTGCTTCTAATCCTTTTCATCACCAAAGTAGAAAAATCAGGACCCACCAGATTTGCCACAGGGATCAACTTTCCTCCCAAAGGGTCTCTTTTGACTGACAGTTCTGGCCTTTGAAGGTTAAAGACAATTCTGGCCTGGAGCCAATTGACAGCTTTGCTATGAAAGCTTCTATGAGGAACCAGTGAATATGTACTTCTTACAGTTTAGTCCAGCTGCAAGAATCAGGGCCCTGTCTCCAAGCCCTCTTTGGAATTTGAGCTATGGTATTGGGATTTCTTTTTACCAGGAAGTGAAAAGAAGGGGGAAATTCCGGAGTTCTTTGGGAGATGAAAATATGCTGACTTAGCCTCAAGTTGTTATTTATTCAGAAAATATGTTTTGAGAAAAAATAACAGAAGGGATGAGAGTTATCTCTCTTTATTCCCTTAATGTGAGAGAAAGATCTAAACTTGTACTGGGCTTCTCTTATCAGCAACAGTTGAACAACTGGCAGGATCCTTCTGTGCCCCATGTCTCCCTCTATAAAGTGGGGGTTGGGACTTTTCTATCACACCAGGCTAGGTGAGGAATCAAAGAAATATTTTTGTACAGTGGTCAAGCTCTTCTTCTGGAAAGGGTGAGTCAGGCAATGCAAACTCCCAGGTTGCTGTGTGGACAGCAGTAGGTCACACATACATGGTGCAGCAACTGCCACATAGAAGGGTTTGCAGCCGGTTGAATGGCGGCCATCTAGGATGCATGCAGGTAGCACTATTTGGAAAAAGGACTCTGCAGGACATAATTAAGTTAAGAATCTCAGGGTGACATCATCCTGACTTATGGCAGGTCCTAAATCCAAAGACAAGTGTCCTTAAGAGAAGAGAAAGTGAAGAGACACACAGAGAAGAAGATCACAGGACAGACCCAAGCTGAGGAACACCTGGAGCCAGTGGAATCCAGAAGGGGCCGGGAAGGACGCTCCTTTGGAGCCTTTGGAGGGAGCATGGTGTTGTGGGTACCTTGATTTTAGAACTCTGGGCTCCACAGTGTGAGAGAAGAAAACTGTCATTTTAAGCCACCAAGTTTGACATAATTTATTTACAGCAACCCTAGGAAACTAATACAAGGCTTACTAAATGGATGCTATCCCATTCTCTGTTGCTTTTCTTTGCCTAACCAAGGTTGGAAAATCTGCTTTCTAAGGAGAGGAAACTCCTGTGAGTGGTCTGGGCTGGGAAACCAAGGTAAAAGTTCATCTGGCTTAGCAAGGCTCCTGTCCCTGCCCTTCCTCTGACCTGTCCTGCTGGGTGGACTCCACCCTCTGGGTCGCCCTTCTGCCCGAGGTTTCTAGAGCTGACAGTATGCTCTGAGCCAAGAGATTCCTAGCTGCAGCATGAAGGGAATAATTGTCAGTGAGATCCCAGATTGTTTTGTCACATACACTTTGCAATATGACAAGTAGGCGTCCCAAATATGCTCCAGGAGGGGAGGGGGGAGAAACTTTCCAAAAGCGTACTTGGCAGACAGTCTCTGCTGAATCAAGTGCAGTCAAGACTCTCGGCTTCCTCCTCGGGGCCATGTGATGCTGTGTCCCTGCGGGTGCTGAGTGGCGTCTCTCCTGCTCTCCTGGGGGTGGAAGCACCAGCTCAGCTTCACTGGCTGCTTTGGAATTTTCTAGATGACATCATAATAATACCTATATTCCTATGAACTTAAAAATAACAACCATCAATAACTGTTAGGCACTTCCCCCGCATGAGGCTCTGTGGCTAGGTGTTCACTGGCTTCCCCTTTTTTCATCTTCTCCGCAATCCTAGGGAATGGGAGTTATTATCATGATTTCTGCTAGAGAGAGGCAAATGGAAAAAGAAGGAGGTGAAATCATTGGCCAAGATTCCATTTCTAAGAAGCAGTAGAGGGGTCAATTCCAACTCTCCTCAGCCTGTCCACAAAGTTGGGGCTGCAAACACTTTTGATGATGTTTGATGATTTATAGGGAAAAGGGCCGTGCCACCCTCATGACCAGAGGGAGATAAGGGGACCACAGGGAGATAAGGCACACATACTGGAAAGGACTTGCTACCACGTGGAGCCCACTCCCTCAGACTGGCTATTCCAGACAGGAGGAAGACTGTTGAAAAGTGGGAAGCATTTGTAGCATAAATAGAACAATTAAATCAGGACAGAGTGAGTTTTCTCCTTCTCAAACCTCTTTTCCTGGAGCTTGACATATACAGATGCTAAATAACAGATCTTTTGCGGTGGAATGCGGGGCTGGGAAGGAGACTGACATTCTTTTTGCATCATAAGGTATAAAAGGCATGTTAGCAATAGGTTAATGTTTATAACGAAGAGGATTAATTGAGGCCAGTCTTAAACTCTTCCTAATTTAAGATCTTGGAACTGTGTATTCATCTAGCATTCATTCTTACTTCCTTCCATCCTTCCTTCCTTCCTTCCCTCCTTCCTTCCTTCTTTCCCCAAAAAACTCAGATTTTGTTCCATCTCTGCCACATTAGCCTTGCTGCTTCACAAATGGGCCTGGTGGAACCATGGGCAAGCCTGTTCTCACTACAGTGGATTCCAACTCTCCTCACTACAGAGGCTGAAGAATGGCCACTCCCCAATTCTGGTCATTGAAGGTGAGTAGAGGTTTCTTCCATGGTGGCTGGTGGCTTAGGGGCTTTGAAGAAAAAGATGCCTTAATTTTCATGAAAGAATCACACACACAAAAAAATGGGGCTGGGGTTGTAGCTCATTGGCAGAGTGCTTGCCTCACAGGTGGGAGGCACTGGGTTCAGTCCTCAGCACCACATAAAATAAATAAATAAAACAAAGGTACTGTGTCCATCTACAACTAAAAAAAGATTAAAAATAAGAAAGCATCACATAAAGATACGGATCCTTCTTCATCCGGATTTTGTCCTGTCTGGTAGAATGCTAAGAACTGCTGCCACCAACTTGAAAGCAGCTTCAGAAAGACACCAACTGATGATGCAGAGAGGTAGAGAGAAACTGGTCCTGAGTGCCACTGTGGAATGGCTGACTCAACCAGCCTTGGACCCGCCCTGCCCCCCTGGAATTCCTGATATGTGAGATAATAAACTCCCTATTGTTTAAGCCAGCTTGAGTCAGGGTTTTGTTTCTGCCACAAAAGCATCCAGACTAATGCAGGATTCAAAGCAGACTCGCCTCCCCCACCCAGCAGCTGGACTGAATGCCACTGAGAATAGCCAAGGACCCACTGCAGAGGCTGCACCCAGAGAGAGGGGGACTGGGGCTGGGAGGGGTGGGATACAAGAGGTTTAAAGGTCGAGGGAGTTGTGGGAAATGGGGACAAAGAACAAAGACAGAAGGGAAGGAGGTGAAAACATGGAGTGCGCTCAGGAATCTAGAGCTAGGCCCCATGTGCATGGGCACATTGAATGAACTGGAGCAGCCATTACTAAATCTCCCTCCACGTCCTCGACTCTGAAAGGGTTGAACCAGAACATTGAACCTTAAATGAGACCGAGGAAGTGCTCTCTACAGTTCCATATGGTGCTCCCCTGGCCGGCAGTTAACCATCCTTCTCTAAGCCATATCACCCTTTCTTTTGTGAAATATGGCATACCACTAGGGTTGCAGATCGCTGACCCCAGGAGAGTCTTAAAAGCCGAAGTAATCGCTCCTTCTCATTTTATGAATCAGGATCCAAGGCCCTAGAAGGAAAGTGATTTCCCCAAAGCAGTGCGGAGTAAGTTTGAGGAAGAACTGAGACAAAATTCAGGTCCCGTGTCTCCCATATCAGTGCCCTTGCCTCTGCTACACAATTTCCCTTCAAGTTGTGTATCAAGAAAATGTCCCTAGATTTTAGGTTTGGGTGGTCAAACAAACTTGGGAAACAGGTTAGGACTAGGAATGTAGCTCAGTTAGAGCACTTTCCTATTAAGTGTAAGGTTCTAGGTTCAATCCTCAGCCCTACAAAAAACATACACCGATTTTTAATGTATCCTCAAAAAGGAAAAGTCACTAACATAGAGTGCTAATGATTTTTCACTAACAGAACATCTCATATTTTTGTTTCAGTTTATTTGCTATTTGTCAAAAAGATCATAAAAATCCCTAAATTGAAATTAAGTACATATTCTTTCTCAAGTCTATTAGACCAGGAACTTTTTTTCTCCCAGGACATCTTCTTGGGATAATATTCTGAAAATTGTATTCAATAAATACACGCCACAGACTTACCTCCATAGGAAGGGAATGAGGTCAAAATACAAAGAAGTTAAGTCTGGAAGCAGTGAAGATGGATGGATGGATGGATGGATGGATGGATGGATGGATGGATGTGCATGTGGATGGGTGGATGGGTAGATAATTGGACAGAGACCACATAGTCTGAGTCTCTAACCTAAGGCAGCCTGCTACATGAGTCAGTACCTTTTTCCCATTCAGCCAGCTTGCGTTGCTTATTAGGTTTTTCTATTGTTCTCATGATAATACTGTATAACAAATGATCCCTAAATTTCAGTGACTTATGAACAAAATGTTTTATTACATTTTCAGGTCACCTGGGCCAGGCTGCACCCCAGGCTTCTGTTAAAGTTTGAGTTTCGGAACCCAGGCTGAAGGAACACTCTGTGGTGTGTGTTCTCATGGTGGTATAAAGAAGCTCCAAAGAGCAGGTAGAAATTTGCTTCTTAAGACCTTAGACTGAAACTGGCATGTAGCTGCTTCCAGACACATTTCAATGGCCAGAACTCGTCTTATTGCCAAAGCCTGAGCTTTGATAGCAAATGATATTCTGCTCAGAGGGCAGTCAGGACAAGAGCAAGGAGGTCCAGAAGAATTGCAAATAATTTTTTTTTTAAATCCACCAGAAAATGGATGTTCTCTATTACACAATTCAGAGCCCTGAAAAATTCAACCCCTGGTTCATTTGTGGGTTCCTACCTGGTTCCTATAATGCACTTAACCTATGGAATACTTCATAGCTAGTCACAATGGTGTTTTTACTCACATTGACCGACCGCTCCTAAGACATTCCTCTCTCCTCTCTTCATTCTCATTTCCACCCTCTCCTCTTATTTGACATGTGTTTAACACAGACTTCATAATTATGCTGTGGATTAATGAGTCAAGCCATCACATGATGAAGCGCCCGAGAGACCACAGCTCCGTGCTGCCAGAGTTGCCAGACTTGTGCAGCAGTGGGTGCTGTTCAATTATTTGACTGTGTCTATTGCATTCATTATTTTCTGAAAACAAGCTGCACTGGAAAAAATGACAGCACTGGCATTAACAATGAAAACCAGGGATCTCATAAACTTAAGACATTTGTGACAGAGATGGAAGTCATTAAGCATGCTCTAAATTGGGAATCTTGAGCCTCAAGAAGATCAAATACATATGTAATTATGAAAGAAACAAACAAAATCAAAGAATGTATCCATGGTTCTAAAACTATGTTGCTTAAGACTGTTGTTGAGTGAGTTGTAATCAGGGATTCAATTATAGTTTTAGTCCTCTGGGGAAAAGTACCACTTGGTGATACATAAGATAGGATGTATGAAACACTGACTTTCAGATATATTTCTGAGGAACATAAAAAGGAAAAGAAGGGATTTTCTGCCTGGATCTACAGAATAATTAGCATGGACATGGCCACCTTTCCACCAGTGAGTATGATTGAAGACAGCTTGTTACTCAGAAGGGTGTCGAATGGTGCATTGTTTCATATAGAGACCTAGTTCCAAGTCCCAGTTGTGAGATTTGGGGCAAATGACTTAACCATGGTTTCCCTATCTGTAATATGGTGTATCAGACCACAGACATCTTCTTGCTCTAGGTCAGGGATAGACTTTACATGTTATTTCATTATTCACAACACTGTCTGAGTGGTAATCCATCTTCTAAAGAGAAGAAAGCTGAAACATGAAGAAGGTAAGGGATGTGTCCAAGTTCATACAGCTAGTTAGCTGAGGTGCACACCCAGGCCACCTGGCTCACGATCCATGTTCCTGTCCACTCCACTGTCATGACTCTTGGACAAGATGTGTGTGTGTGCAATGTGACAGAGCAGATTCTCAGGAAGCATGCTCATCCCTCTTCATCTCAGTGAGGGCCACTGGAGGCACCAAAGCAAACTCCCGGTCCCTCCTGCACATTCCTTATGTGCTGTCTGTGCCTTGATGACACAGTTTCAGACAAGTGTGGGTAGCTCTTCCCACTACTAGATCTGTGACTTTGGGGAAACCATCAAGCTTCCTGATCTTTTAACTCTTCCCTTCTCAAAGGGGGTTAATAATATTTACCTTTAACATTTTACAAAATTACTGGCAAGTCCCAAGAGATAACAGTTCCAAAAGCCCATTGAAAATGTAAGTCCTCTGCAAATTCTAGATTTGCTTTTTAACGTGATGAGGCTGTACTCTTAAAGCCTCATGCCAGACCTAACCCTCACACATTCTCCTCCTCCCTTGCTAAGCCCTGGGATTGTTCTAATGACACTGTCTTTGCTCGGGCCACGTTTGGAATGCTTCTGGGAAATTACCTTTGTAGCTGGTTTATAAGTGAAGCGAGAAAATCAGTTTCCTGGCCCCGCAGACACTCCTTTTGATTTGGAGGAGCCAAAAATGGTGTTTCTGAACTCATTCCCCCCACCTTACTCATAAGAAGCAGTTCAGAATGGATTATGTCTATTTTAAAAAATAAAATAAAATCCACCCTCAGAGGGAGAAGACTTGCCTCCTGGAGACTAGCAGAGGAATCTGACGTGGGAATCTGAAAGCAATATCATCATTTCACAGTCACATTGTACTCACGTCAGATTTAAACACCAGTGCCCCATTGTCCCAGCTGGGTCTGTGAGTGAGGATATTAAATCAGTCAATTCACTCATTCAATTCATTTGCTCCTTCCAAAAAATCCTCCACTAAGCACTTACCCAGAGTGGAAGGAGACATGGAAGGGAAAAGCACCCTAAATAAGGAAGCGGAAGCGGCAGACACAAGCGCACAGGAAAAGTGAAGACTGCTCTTGACAGGTGTGCCATGTTGTGAGAAGCCCAGGAAGGGCAGGCCAGGGAGGCTCCGGAGCTTTCTGGGCAGGGACACTAGAGCTGGATGTGCAAGGACCAGTTAGGGTTAGAGGAGATGGTGAAAGGGCCAGGCATCAGGGAAGAAGAGTTTATGTGTGCCCTGGCCCACTCTGTGGAAGGACATGATGACTGAATAACACCAGAAGGGGACCCCGCAGGTCCAAGGTGACCCAAGGACAAGTAGGTTTGGCCTCCACGTGTAGACCTGCATACCCATGCTAAACCAATTGATGACATTTAAAACTCAGCGTGGGGAAAAGGAGTCTCATCAAAATACATTAATTTCTGGCTTCGCTGGAAGAGGCCTACAAAATACACCTGTATTTCTATTTTTCTCACAAAAGAGCACCTGCCTGGTTGTATTGGGCTTGATCAGCTTCTCAAGCTTGAATTTTTCTTAGAGTCGCCCCCTCCCCTCATTGGTGCAGCCTACCCAGCTCCCGATAGGAAAAAAAAAAAATGACATTTCTATTGCTTATGAAGTCTGTTGCAAAATCACAAAATAGCAGTGCATTCATTGCTACTTTGAAATTGCAATACATGTTTGACCTGCCACTGGGTCTTACTATTCAACACCTCAACAAAGCACATTTATTTCTGTACCATAAATGAGGTGAGAAATTTTTTTTTCTTTTACATTTGATCATACTTTTTCAGTAGCATTGGTTTCCTTAAATCCTGTATATTTCATTTGATGCATTTAATTCATTGCTCTGAGAAGGGGCCTATGGCACCAGAAAATAATCTTAATAATCCCCCACTTAGATGCTGTTCTGTGTGCTTTAAGCACAAATTAGCAAATTTAATTCTTAATGTCCTGACAAAAGTAATGATATGCTTTTTACAGGTAAAGAACTGAGCCACAAAGATGCTCTTAACCTCTACGTGCCCTGCCTTCCAGAAAAGCCTGGGAAGAGCATAAAGGAAGAGAGTCCCATCTGCACTAGGGAAAGATGATTTCTCCTGTCAGAGGAGTAGAGTGGATGCAACAGGCAGCAGAAGGCCCAAGCCAGGGCAGCGGTGTGGGCAGGATGGTGGAATCC